CACTAGACTCCCACATGGCCAACTATGGTTCAAGTCACAGACCAGGTAGCTTTCTTTCTCTCTTCCTCTCTCTCTTGAAATTTTAAAATGATAATAAAATGAAATACTTATTTTTTAAAAGGTTACATATTGTATGATTGTATAAATAGAGTCAAGTATATGATTTTATTAGTAGAATCATAGAATGATTTGGACATATCAAGTTTGGACATTCTATATTGGTCAATCTCTAGATACGGAAAGTAGGTTAGTGGTTTCCCAGGGATGTAGGGAGGAAGACTAGAAATGACTGCTTTGAGCCAGCTCCATGACCTGGTAGTTAAGGGAGCCAAAGCGAACATGCCTAACCGCATGGTTCAAGGCCAGCCCCTGTGTCTTGAAAAACACACTGAGTATAATTCATGTATACCCTGGGTCTCGACAGGGTGGAGATGGAGGAAAAGGGATTGTGGTATGACCTCGTTCTACTGAGGGTCACTTCCTCCCTCTCTCTCGTCTATCTCTCTGGCCAGCAAGTGCACTCTCTGGCAAATTAACAAATGGGAGGGAGAATGACTCCTTAATAGGTGTAGGGTTTCTTTTTGGGGTCGTGGAAGTGTTTCGATGTTAAGTAGCGGTAATGGTTGTACACCTCTGTGAATGGACTAAAACCAAGACGTGTGTTACATAATAGTTAAAATGGTGACTTTTATATGGCATTAATTTGATCTCAACTTTAAAAACAAAAAACAATGCTGCCAGGCTTCCATGGCATTGTCAAGGAGCCATTCCCAGAAAATTCTTTCCAGATCAGCCAAGTTGCCTATTGGATTCCTTTCTGCTCCTGACTTTGAGTTATTCTGCAGTTCCTCCTGTTGTGGTTACTGACTAAAGGGGAGTGCCCTGCTCCTCTTCCTCACTCTGTTTATACTGAGTCACTGACTTCTGAGTTCTTTAAGGTGTGAGTCCTGGGTTAATTAATACCCTTGGATTCTCCCATTGTCTCATACATCTGAGCTGAAGAAGCTGGTGCCCTTTTTCTCGGCCAGGCATAGGCTACACCTGTTTTCCCTGTCTGAACTGTGTCCTGGGCTGCGCTTGGCCCTGCACTTGGACAGAGCACAAGGGTAATGGAGTGCAAACTTTGTCCAATTCGCCACTTCTCCGGCTACCCTCCAATACTTTATAGTAATTAGTGAGCCATGGATTATTTTTTCCCTCAAGAAACTGGAGGCTGCTCCTGCACAAACTGAATGAGGAAACAAATAGGCACCTAGACATTGAGTATCTTCAGGAAATGTGGGGAAATTTTTAATAATTATTTAATTTGGGGACCAGCAGATGGTATAGTGGTCATGTCACTGGACTCCCATGTGGTTGACTGTAGTTTGAGTCCTGGACCCAGCAGGTTAAAATTCACACTGTGTGTGTGTGTGTGTGTGTGTGTGTGTGTGTGTGTGTGTATGTGTGTGTATGTGGTGTACATGCCCAAAATTACAAAAGGAGAATGGAGACGGGATTGCAGCATTGCCATCCCCCTGAGGGGTGATTTCTCGCTTTCTGTCTGTCTCTCTTTCCAGCAAGCTCACACACCCTATAGCAAAAAATCTCTCAAAAATACAGAAAATTAAGTAGAATTGTTTCATTTTATTTATTATTGTTATTATCATTATTAATTTGCTATAGGGCACATGTACTCTCCAGAGATGAAGAAAGAGGGAACATGAGAAAGCAAGCTCTCAGGCCTAGGACTTGAACTGCAGTCAGCCATGTAGGAGTCTTAACACCTTAACCACCATACTGGCTCCCTGTGGGGAAATTTTTATCATAAAAAGAACTTTATGGGATCAGATGGCAAGCTGGTGTCTCATAGTTGAATTTGAAATAGTTTATTTAACTCAGTCACAATATATTTGTAATTAGTAGGTAGGATAAAATTTTCACTTTTTCTTTTCATGTAGTGTTGGGACTTGAGAGGCCTGCAGGCCAGGGGCACACTGCGCTCTGGGGCTGAGTCCATGGTTGGCTGCTCTGAAGTAGAACTCAGCCTTTCCTGCCGACCCAGTGCTTGAGATCCACCTCTAGACCTTACTCCCAGGGAAAAGTCAGAAAATGGCTCCTGATGGCAGGAGTGAGCTCAAGGCCTGATCCTACAAATGACAGGGAAGTAACAAGGGACATGTATTCTTCAGAGTGGAGCACACACATCCTTTATATTCTTTGGGTTCTCGGAGTAGATGTCTTTTCAAAGGAATTTGAGTTTGTCAAGAGTTTAAACCACTTTTCTTAGGCACAGTGGTAAACAGTGCATTGGGAGTCAGAACCCAAATGGCCATCCGTGATTCAAATTCCAGCTCTGGTGGCTTGAAAAACACGGGACCAGTAGTTGGCATACCAGCTATGTCGCTGGACTCCCATGTAGTCGACTGCGGTTCGAGTCCCGGACCTGGTGGCTTAAACTCACTGGGCACATGTGCGTGCGTGCCCAAGATCCCGAGAGGAGAAGGGATTGCAACATGGCCATCCCCCTGGGGGGTGATTTCTCGCTTTCTGTCTCTCTGTCTGTCTCTGGCAAGTGCACACATCCTATAGCAGAAATAAAACCTCTCAAAAAAAAAAAAAAGAAACAACAAACATATTAGGCAGGTGTGTGTGTTTGCATATTTCCAAAATTCTGATGGGGTGAAGAAATGGGAGAATAGGATTACAACATGACCATGTCCCATTGTGAGGTTCTCTCTGGCAATCAAAAAGAAATCTCAAAAATAAATTTTAAAAATCTAATTTGATGGATTATTTTTTACTGTATCGGATTACTGCTAATTAGGAAAAAATCCTCTTTACTAGGTAGAGATATATAAACACTAATTTAGCATGACAAAATATGTAAATCTAAATGAAAAGCCCTTCTTCCTCCTCCTCCTCTTCTTCCTCTTATTCTTTCTCCTTCCTCCCTCCTCCTCCTCCTTCCTTCTTCCTTCTACTACTTCTTCCTCCCCCTTTTCTTCCTTCTTCTTCTCCTGCTCTCCAGCACTCCTCCTCTATTTCTCTCTCCTTTTAGGGTTTTGAACACGCACATACACACACCTGACATGTTTCTCAAGCCACCAGGTCTGGGCTTCAGACCATATAGTTGGCCATTTGGGATCCAGCCTCCTAACTACCACACCATGAGCTTGCCCACCAGTGTATCTTAACAGTGAGATACTAGAGACATTTCATTTAGAGCCAAGATTAAGGTAAAGATGACCCACTGTCATCTATAGTTCTGGGGATACTAGAATATGCAAGCAAACAAAGAACTAGGAGGTATAAAAATTAGAAAGTGACCAAATTGCAGAGATGATCTGATTGTATTTACCCAAGGAGTTAATTAAAAGTTGTAAATGAAGGGGCCAGCCAGTGGCACGGTGATTAAAGCATGGCTAACTGCGTATTTGAGTCCTGGACACCTGGTAGCTTGACAGACATGTGAAGCACTTGTGCATGCATGCCCAAAATCTCAGAGGAGACTGGAGGAGAAGGGATTGTGGCATGGCTGTTCCCAGATGTGTGATTTCTCACTCTTCTTTCTGTCTCTCAGACCAGCGCATACACTCTGTAGCCCAAAAAAAAAAAAAAAAAAACAACTTTGATTTACTGAGAGATGTAAAATATTTGAATAAATGAACAATATAACCTCTTAGACACACAGAAATGTGTCTTTTCTTACTGAACAAATGATAAACTAATATGGATACTCCTGAAAGTGCTGGAATAATTGTTTTTAGGTAATCAAGATGATCGTAAAGATAGTATAGAAGACTTAAGATGCAAAACAAGTCATAAAAATTCTTAAAAATGTACTAATAACTAAAGATTAGCCCTAGTTAGTATTAAAGCATACTATAGAAATATAGCAGCTGAGAGCCCAGCGGGTGGCATGGTGCTTAAGGGTCCTAGGCTTCCTCGTGGCTGACAGCAGTTCAAGTCCTAGACCTAGTGGCTTGCTTTCTGATTTTCTCTCTCCTTCTCTCTGGTCAAATTAAAATAAACAAATAAAATTTAAAAAAAATTTTTTAAAAAGAAATGTAGCAGTTAAGGCCTAGCCACAGTGGCACACTGGTCGTGCCACCACTTGGGAGGCAAGGTTTGGCTCCAAGGAAACCTGTACACACCTGTGTGTGTTCCTGTGCTCGTGGGTGCAGGGGAGGGTTGTGCCATGAGACTGTTGAGAGTACTTCTCTCTCTTTCTCTCTCTCAGTCTCAAGAAAGGAATAAAGGAATAAAAAAAAAAATGTTTTCAAAGGTTTTTGCTATAGGGAGCATGCACACACCAGAAAGACAGAGACAGACAGAAAGTGAGGAATCACCCCCCAGGGGGGAATGGCCACGCCGCATTCCCTTCTCCATTCTCCTCTCGGGATCTTGGGCACACACACACACATATATGCGTGTGTGGGTCCGGGACCCGAACCATGGTCGGCTACATGGGAGTCAGGAAACATAGCAATTATGCCAACCACTGGTCCCAGGAATAAAATTTTTAAAGTAAAGAAAAGGGTTGGGGGGGCAGCCCTGTTGTCTGTTGGTTAAGAGAGCTGGATATAACATGTCCTACTGCAGTGTGAATCCCAGCCCTGGCAGCTTGAAAAATATGCTGGGCTGTATGAGTGCCATCTCTAAATCCACACGGGGTAGAGAAGTGGAAGAAAATGGATTGTATGGAGACCATACTGCATTGGCGGTGCTTTCTCCCTCTCCTCTCACTCTCTTTCAGATGATACTGTTCTATTACTCGCCAATATGTAAATAACAAGAGGCTTTAAGTGTACAAAATACGGCTCAAGTTACATCATGCCAATGGGAGCAGGTGCTGTTACACTGAAGAGCAGTTAGTGGGGCAGCCTGCTCACCCCACCTCTCTTCTCCAGTGACTGCACCTGCAGTGTGTTCTTGTGTTCTGCCGCGAGTGTCCTGTGTTGCCGTCAGACAGCATCTCATGATCTTCTTTCTGTTGCTTTGTAATTTTTTCCTCAAAGAATAACTGCACAGAGACTCGCACACCTGAATAAGTGCTTGATGAACTTCAAGCTGGGGAATTTCAGCTATCAGAAAAGCCCTCTGAAGCTGGGTGAGCTCCAAGGAAATCATTTCACTGTTGTTCTCAGGTAAGAACTGCAGATAGGAATACAGACCAGAGAGGGCCTTGCAGGTCACCTTGCATCTGTCCATGACAAGTGTGTATAAGGTCTTGGTTCACTGGGTCAAGAGGGGTCGCAGCAAGGGAAAAGCGTGGCCTCGGAGGACTGGGACAGCAAACGCTTATATCGTGGTTGTTCTGACTCGAATAGCTTGGCACAGCCTTTAGAAAGACACCGTCTCCTTCGAATGCCATGTTACGGGACAAAGGGCCCACGATTCTGCTTGCATGAGGTAGCTAGAATAGACATTTCAAGGTGCAGAAGGGAGAGGAGAGGTCACACTGGCTGTGGGTGGGAATGGGGAGCTAGAGTCTGCTGGGTACAGTTTGTTTTTAGGAGTAGATAATAGTGACGATTATATAGCATTGTGAATGTACTTAATGCCACCAAATTGCACACTTGAAATTGGCTTATGTGCTAAATTTATAATCTTCTATGTATTTTACCACAATGAAAATTGAAAACCCAAAGAACTCTGAGGCAATAGAGAGACAGCTGCAGGAGAGGAAGAGAGAGATGAGGAAGCCAGGCCATCGTTGAATAGATTCATGTCCCTGTAGAGGTTTGACTATATGTTTTTTCTTTGGATAATTTGGGTCTCTGCAGAAATATAACAGGAACTGATGACCAAGTACAACAAGCTATGAACTCTCTCAAGGAGATCGGATTTATTAACTACTATGGAATGCAAAGATTTGGAACGACAGCTGTCCCTACGTATCAAGTCGGAAGGTTTGTATGTTATTTCTTTTTTCTGTTTCTTTTTTCTTTTTTTTTTTTTTTTTAATATAGGGCATGTGCACTCGCAGGAGAGACAGAAAGCAAACAATCACCTCCCTGCCAGGGGGAACAGCTACGCCACAGTCCTTTTTCCTCCAGTCTCCTCCAGACACATGTATGCAGGTGCTCATAATCCCAAGAAGAGACTGGAGGAAAAGAATTGTGGCATGGCCACCCCCCCTTGGGGTGACTTCTCATTTTCTTGCGCTCTCTCCAGCAAATGCACACACCCTATATTCTGCCCCTCCCCCCCAAAAAAAGAACTCTCTTACTAAGAAGAAACAAGGTTTTGTATTGCTGGTGATTGTAATTATTTCTATTTTACCTCATTTTGGGGGCAAATGCACCACTTTGTCTCAGCCTTGCAAATCCACAGCTGCCTTTTAATTTTTGTTCTATTTTAAGATAAAGAATGTACAAGGTTAAAAAAAAAGTGTTCAAAAGGATATGACCTGTTTCTCGTGCCCTTGATAGCCCATTCCAGAGGTTTTATTTTTTATTTTCTTTAACAGATAAATCTTGGCTCAATAATTGACCCAACAGCAAACAGTTGGGTAACTCAGGCCCAGAGTAGTCAGACGGGGAGGATGTAGTGCTGACCTCTGTTAACAAGTGATTCCTGGTTTACTTAGCTTTGCTCTGCCCTTCCGCCACCCTGTAAAGTGGTAGAGGTTACAACTAGTGATGTAGAATCTAAAAGCTCCAATTCATTTCTACATAGAAGGAAGCCCTCCAGGGTAAGTTGGGGTAGGAAATCTCAACAATAAATACTTTTGTTCAGAAACCTGCTTAGGGAAGCCTGCTGCCCAGCAGACTATGTCATGTAAAGAAATGATTCATGTGAGATTGGAACTAGGATAGCTACGAGTTAGAGGTGACCAAGAGTTCACGTTCTTCCTTGTTCAGACCCTCCCAATTAGCAAGGGTGGAGCTCGGGCCTAGGGAGGTCTGCCTGAGCTCACTAAGCGGTTAGCTGTGGTCCTGGGAACCATCTTCTTGACTTGCAGTTCCTTGCTCCAGCATCCGACTGCATGCAGTTGCATTTACTCACGTGATTTTCAAAACACAAAATGATAAATCTGCTATGTAATGTTTCTTCTTTCTCTTTGGGGCAGCGCTGTAAAGGTTAAAGCTCAGACAGTGAAGTCAGACCTGAGTGCTTAGCCTCAGATTGCTCATCTGTAAAATGGAGGTGATAATACCACCTGACAGGGCGGCAAACGCAAAGTGAGATGATGGATGCGCAAACTTATTTCTGTGCCTAGAATATAGTTCATGCTCAGTAAATAGAAGGTAACACTCTGAAATTAAAGCACACTAAGCAGAGGAGAAATTGTTTCCAGCAAGATAGCAATCTTAACTAAGGATATTGAAAAAATAATACCTTTTTTTTTTTTTTTTTTTTTAACAGAGTGTGTGCACTCACCAGGGAGAAACAGTGGGAAAGTGAGAAATCATCCCCTGGAGGGGTGGCCATGCTACAATCCCTTATCCTCTTGGGATTTGAGACATGCTTGCATTTAATGCCCTGTATGATTTTTAGGCCGCCAGGTCCAGGGCTTGAACCACAGTTGGTCACACGGGAATTGAGCGCCTTAACCACCACACCACTTGCTACCCATAGAAGCACTGGGTTATTGGAAAAATCATGATGCATTTTTGCATAGAAAATCAAAAATAAGTCATGACTTTTCTAATAGCCCAGTAATGTTTTCAACCTTGCTCATAGCCAGAGGACATTGTTAAGATACTAAAGATGCTGAATTGTGTTGTAGGACAATATTTAAGGGGGACTGTGTCAACCTATAAATGTATAATAATTTGGCAAGACAGCCAGGGAACCCAAAGTAAGCCAGTCACAAAAGGACAAATTCTGTTTGATTCCTCTTGTATGCGGTTCCTAGAATAAAGTCACAGATAGAAAGTTGAATATGATTTCCAGGGATGGGGGAGAGAGGTGAATGGGAAGTTAGCATTTAATGGTATCGAGTTTCAGTTTAGGAAGACTAAAACGTTGTGAAAATGATGATGGTGATGTTGCACAGTAGTGTAAATGTATTTAGTGTGTGCGCCTCAGCCCCAGCTACCTAGGAGGCTGAAGCAGGAGGATCACGAGCTCACAACTGTGGGTGACAGCAAGACTGTGGAAGAACAGGGCATGGTGGCATGGACCTGGAGTCCCAGCTACTCCAGAGGGTGAAGCAGGCGGATCGCAACACACTGAGACCCTGTCTGAAACAACACACACACACACACACACACAACTCCCACAGAAAGCTCAAAACTGATATGATACTAAATACTATAGGTAAGCTAGGTAAGCATTATGTTCTTTGTTTTATTCTTTTTCTTTTTCAAAAAGTTCTTTTGACATTTACATGTGAAATATATATCCTTTGAATTGTGTGTAACATAAAGTCAGTATGATTTGTTGACTCTTCAAAGATTTGAGCGTATCAAGTTACTCATAATGCAAAATTAAGCATAATAAATACTGTTTCATTCTAGGGCTATACTACAAAATTCGTGGACAGAAGTCATGGACCTAATATTGAAACCCCGCTCTGGAGGTGAGAATAAGATTCATGTTAAGAAAATAAAATAGAATGTATGCTAAAGTATTCACAAAATTGCTTTGAAAAAAATGTCTGTGTAGAGACCACCAGGTGACATGGTGGTTAAGGTGCTGGACTCCTCCCAAATGGCAGATCATTGTTCAAGTCCTGGACCCAGCAGCTTGAAACTCACAGCAGTGCATGGACATGTATACCAAAATCCCAAAAGGAGAATGGAAAGGAAGGGATTACAGCTTGGCCATCCCCCATAAGGGATGATTTCTCACTTTCTCTCACTGTCTCTCTCCAGCAAGTGCACAGGCCCTATAGGAAAAATCTTTATTAAAAAACAAAAAAGTGTATGCAAATTAGGGTAACTAATTCACAATTTCTTTTGTTTTTTGTTTGTTTGTTTGTTTTTTTTAATTAAAATTGACAGTGCTGAACTCCCACATAGTTGACCATAGTTTGAGTCCCAGACCGGTGACTTAAAACTGTCACAGCGCGGTGTGATAACTCACACGCGAGGTGTGTGTGTGTGTGTGTGTGTGTGTGTGTGTGTGTGTGCGCTTTTCCAAAATCCTGAGAAGAGAATGGAAAAAAGGGTTTGCGGTGTGGCCATTCCCTGGGTGGGGGGGCGTGATTTTTCACTTTCTTTCTCACTGTCTTTCTGTCAAGTGCATATGCCCTATGGCAAAAAATTCCCTTTAAAAAAAAATAGAAAGTGCAGTTTATTTCTTTAGTTTCAGTTTTATATGTACATATATGATTTATCATTTATATCCTGGTTTTAGTTCTGTAGCTTATCTGATTTATTAATTTATAAATGAGGGACCAGCAGATGGCATAATGGTTATGTCACTGGACCTGTAGTCAACTGCAGTTCAAGTTCTGGACCTGGTGGCCTAAAACTCACGCCAGGCACTTGTGTATGGGTACCCAAAAGGAGAGTGGAGGAGAAGGGATTGCTGTGTGGCCATCCTACCTCTGGGCAGTGGTTTCTCACTTTCTGTCTTTCTGTCTCTGTCTTTCTGGCAAGCATTCATGCCCTATAGCAAAAATATATCTCTCAAAAAAAAATTGTAAATAAATGTAGAAGAAACTGATTTCACTTGTTTATTTTTTTAAGAATTATTTATTTAATTTTGTTTATTGTTGTTATTATTTTAATTTGGCCAGAGAGAGAAAATTAGAAAGCAAGACTCCAGGTCTGAGACTCAAAGTATGGTCTGCCATGTAGAATCCAGCACCTTAACCACCATGCAACCTGCTGGCCCATACTTGTGGTTATTTGTTAAAGCAGAGTGTAATGGAATACAAACTTGATAAAATGGAAGATTTTTAGTTTAAAGCATTCACTAAGGGGGCCAGCAGGTGACATGTAGTTAAGGCAGCTAGACTCCCACACAGCTGACCGCAGTTAGAGTCCTGGACCTGGCAGCTTTCTTACTTTCCTTTTCTCTCTCTGTCTCTCTGGTCAACTTCAAAAACACTAAATTAAATTAAATAATGACAGTGAATAAAATTAAATAAAATAATTCTGTTTTTTTTTGTTGTTGTTGTTGTTTTTTAAAAAAAAGAGTTCACTAAGGGACCAGCAGGGAGCATGGTAGTTAAGGTGCTGGACTACCACATGGTTGACCACAGTTTGAGTCCTGGACCTGACTGCTTGCTTTCTAGTCCCCCAATCTCCCCTAGGCACACATGCCTTATAGCAGATTAAAAATTGTAATAATAAATTAAATCAGTAATTTTAAAAATAAATAAGGAGTTCACTAAAAACTTCAGAATGGTGCCAGCGGGTGGTGTCAGTGGTGAGCACTGTACTTCCACATGGCCAACTGTGGTTCAGATTCCGAAGCTGGTGGCTTGCTTTCTCACTTGCCCTCAGTCTCTCTCTCTCTCTGTCTCTCTGGTGAGCGCATGTACCCTATAGCATTTTTTTTTTAATTTACTTAACTTTATTTATTTTTAATTTGACCATTGCAGGGCAGAGACAGATTTGGGAGTGAGAGAGCAAGCTACCAGGTCCAGGACTCGAATTGCGGTCAGCCATTTGGGAGTCCAGGGCTCTTAACTGCCATGCCACCTTCAGGCCCACCCATAGCAGATTTTAAGAGAAATAATACTGGGGCTTGCGGGTAGCGTGGTGGTTAAGGACACTTAATGCTTCCACATGGCCAACCGCAGTTCGAGTCCTGGACCTGGTGCCTTGCTTTCTCACATGCTCTCTCTCTCTCTCTGGTCTCACTCTACCCCTCTCTGGTCAAATTAAGATAAATAAATTAAGTTAAATAAAGAAAGTAAAACTAGTAAAATTAAATAAACAATTCCTTAAGGAAACTTTTTAGAAAATATCTCTAAAACCATACTGAATAGATGGATTTAATAACTACTTTGCAAATTATCAAAAATGTTTAAAGTCATCAAAATAGGCCCTGACAGGTGGCATGATGGTTAAGGGAGCTGGACTCCTACATGGCCAACCACGCTTGAGTCATGCTGGACTTCCACATAGCCAACCATGGTTCAAGTCCTGGACCTTGGACCTGGTGGCTTGGTTTCTCACTTTCTCTCTCTCTCTCTTTCTCTCTCTCTCTCATTCTGTCCTTCTCTGGTCAAATGTAAATAAATAAATGAAGTTAAATAAAATAATTCTTTTTAAAAAGAAATCAAAATAGTCATACACACTTTTAGGTGATTACTCAACTTGTCAACTGAAAAATTATCTAATTTTAAGGGAAAATTTTTTAATCTTAGTAATACAATGGAAAAAAAAGAAAGGATTACAAAGTTTTTGTCTTCTATTGAATCACCTATGATAATGAACAGTAAATGGATTTTTAATATAGGCCTGGGTGGGGGGGAACCAGCAGTTAGCGTAATGGCTATGTCACTGAACTCCCATGTAATCAACTGCGGTTCGAGTCCTGGACCTGGTGACTTAAACTCAGGCCAGGCGCATGTGCATGCATGCCCAAGATCCGGAGAAGGGATTGGTGCGTGGCCATCCACCCTGGGGGGTGATTTCTCGCTTTCTATCTCTCTGTCTCTGTCTTTTGGCGAGCACACGTGCCCTATATCAAAAACCTCTCAAAAAAAAAATATATATATGTATATATATATATATGGGCCTAGGGATTGAAGCATGTTGACAGGACCATGTGGTTCTGTGAACTTTGTAGGTTTCCCACCATTTCACTTTCTGATGGCTGTTTGGTGAGTAGGAGCCCTTCATGGTGCCTACATCACAAATAGCATTTTCTGATTTTGTGTTCTCTATTTTAAGTTAAGAAAGTTTGTCCCTTGGATAAATTGTTAATTGTAGCTTTTTCTCCCTGCAGCTGAAAAGGGGTATTTGGTTAAATGCAGGGAAGAATGGGCGAAGACCAAAGACCCAGCCGCTGCCCTCAAAAAACTACCTGTCAAAAGGTGTGTGGAAGGGCAGCTGCTTCGAGGACTTTCAAAATATGGAATGAAGAATATAGTCTCTGCATTTGGCATAGTGAGTGTGATTTGCGAAGTCAGGCCATGGCTCAAGGTGGCTTAATGAATGTATTTAAATTTTTATCTTGAAAGGCTGAGATTTTGAAAAAGCAGAAAATAAATAGTATCTCTTGGTGATCTCTGAGTGGGGTTTTGCCTGAGTAATCCATGTTCAGGCCGTGGATAGTGATGAGTGGGCGGATATGAGCAGTGTTGACATTATTGTTAGCATTGAGGGCATGAGAAAGGCATTCATGTGGAAAATGTGATCTCCAGTGGGGATTTAATTTAAATTTAACATCTTGGTATTTGAAATGCCAAATCCATTGTATCATTTTTCTTTTATCATTTTCCATCATCAGAGGGTTGGCCAGGAAGCGGTCTGCATAGTTGCATGTTAGTGTGTTTCATCACGGTGGTTCAAGAGTGGGTACCATCTGGGTAAGCGTAGCCTGTACCAGTATATGAGTATGTATAGCCCAGGATATGTTCACGTTTAACCCGTAAACCGAAGTCTTAGTTACTTTTCCCTAGATGTGGCAAAAAAAAAAAAAAGAAGAAGATTCTTACAGCGAAATGATTGTCTTGAGGGCCTGTGCTCTCTTTGTCAGTCACGTTTGTTCATGGAGGAGAAAGCCCTGTTAGCTCTATAGTTGACACATGAATTCTTAGTTTGAAGTCTGTCTTTGATGTAGAGTATAAATTCCACAGCATCTGCTTTATTTCCATGAATGGCCTCAGTGTGGCTAGAGCATGTTAACTGCTGATGCCTGTTAACACCCCTTAGTTTCAGGGGTTCTGTGTTTAATACTGTGTACCAATCATATTTCTATCGGTTATTAGAACAACGAGAGATTTTAAGTAGGAGTTTCTCATGCTCAGTCCACCACTAAACCAGATGTCTTGGAAAATATGGTACTTTTTATATGCAGAATATTTTTTCCTTGCCTATTTTTTCTTTCCCTCCAGATACCAAGAAATAATCGCTTAATGTATATTCATAGCTATCAAAGCTATGTGTGGAATAACATGGTGAGCAAGAGGATAGAAGAATATGGACTAAAACCTGTTCCAGGAGACCTTATTCTCAAAGGAGGTAAAAGGACAGATAGCATTGTTAATCACATATAATTAGTTGACATTAATGGCAAACGTGCACCACTTTGTTTGAGAAAGGTGAACTCCCCAGAGAAATGCAGAGGGGGGAAGAGGGAGAAATCACTCCCCATGGGGCATGGGACACATCACAGTCCCTTTTCCATTTTTCTGTCCTGTTGGGATTTAGGGCATGCATGGACACACAGGCCCAGTGTGTTTTTCTAGCCACCTGGGCCAGAATTCGAACCAGGGTCGACCATGTAGGATCCAGGTCCTTTAACTGCTAGGCTATGGGATGACCTTTTAAAAAGATATACCCATCTATTTCTTCCATGAGAGACAGAGTGAGATACCAGCACCTTCAACAGCATCCTCATGCTGTGATCCCCCACCTGCCACAGCCCACCCAAATCATAGGCATGCACAAACACCTGATGTGTACAGAGTCCCCCGACGCAAATCTGAACCCATGTAGGTCCAGCTACACTGCCACTGAACCACCCGCTGGCCCCAACACTCGTTGCTTTAAAATTCAGCCTGATTATAAGTTAAGATAGAGACATATTGGGCCAGCAAATGGTATGGTAATCAAAGTGCTGGACTCAGGTGACTGTGGTTCAAGTCCCAGACCCAGCAGCCTGAAAATCACACCAGACGTGTGTGTGCACGTCTAATCCCAAGAGGAGAATGGAGGAGGTGGGATTATGACATGGTCATCTCCCCAGGGGGTGATTTCTCACTTTCTCTCCCTCCATCTCTCCCGCAAGCACACATACCCTATGGCAAAAACCTTAAAAGAGAGAGAGAGAGATTGGGAGTGGCCAGTGGTACAGCAGTAACACAACACTGCAGTGCTGGACCCACGTAGGAAGGTTCTGGGTTCACATCTTCAGGCCTCCCTTTATAAGGGATCATAGCATGATTATTCGGCATGAGGAGCTTTCTCTGTTTCCCTTGCATACCTGTGATCTGGGCTAGCTGAGGTGGAGGGCGGATCATGCATGGAGACCCTGTCTTGAGGGTGTGTACTTTCTTTCTGTTTCTGACTCATAGAAGAAATAAGTGAATCAGTATTTAAAAACAGAAAATAGGGGGCCAGCAGATGGCAAAGCAGTTAAATTGCTAGACTCCGTATGGCCAACCACAGTTCAAGTCCCAGACCTGGTGGCTTGAAAATCGTGCCAGGTGCGTGTGCATGTGTGCCCAAGATCCTGGGAGGAGGATAAAGGAGAAGGGATTACAGCATTGCTGTCGGGATGATTTCTCACTTTCCCTCTCACTTTCTCAGTCTCTCTCTAGTGAGCACACACACCCTAAGGCAAAAACCTCTTAAAAGAAGAAAAAACAGAAAAGAGTTGGCTCTGTGGCTTATTGGTTAAGGGATATGGATTCCACATGGCCAACTGCAGCATGAATCCCATCCTTGGTGGCTTGAAAAACATACCAGATACATATGTTTACATGCCCAAAATCCCAACAGCATAGAGAAGGGATTGCAGTGTGACTGTGCCATGTTAGGGTGTACTTTCTACCCCTCTCTCTAGAAATTGCTTGACCCTATGACACTTTATTTATTTATTTATTTTTATTTTTGGAGAGGTTTTCGCTATAGGGCGTGTGTGTTCGCCAGCCAGCCAGACAGAGACAGACAGACAGAAAGTGAGAAATCACCCCTCAGGGGGGATGGTCACGCCGCAGTCGCTTCTCCTCCATTCTCCTCTCAGGATCCTGGGCACACATGCACACGCGCCCGGCGTGAGTTTTAAGCCACAGGGTCCGGGATGCGAACCGTGGTTGACTATGTGGGAGTCCAGTGACATAGCCATTACGCTAACTGCCGGTTCCCGACCCTATGACTATTTACAGAGATAGAAAGAAGGATCAGCCTGTGGACTGGTTTAAATGACTGGATCCCACATGGCTCAAATCCCAGACTTGGCTTGAAAAACACACCAGGCACATGTACATGCAGGCCCAAAATTCCAAACAGAGGGTGGAATGGGGAGAATTGATCATAGCGTGATCATTCGCCATGGGCAGTGCTTTTTCTCTGTTTCCCTTTGTCTGTCTCTCTCCTGTGAGTGCACATGCACTCTGGAAAATTTTTTGAAAAAGAAAGAAAAGAGATGTCTAGCAAATTTGAGATGGAAGCACCTTGGAAGTTCAGATCGGCTAGTTTGTGCCTGTATCTTTAACGAAAAAGTACACAGGAGTCTTCCTAAAGTTCATGGAAAACTCATTTTACTAAAAACTATGCATAGGGGGCAAGCAGGTGGCATGGTAGTTAAGGCACTAGACTCCCACTTGGCCAATTATGGTTCAAGTCCCAGACCTGGTGGCCTGCTTTCTCATTCCTCCCTCCCCCATGCGTGCAAGTGTGCTCTATAGCAAAATTTTAAAAATAATAAATATTTCTTTAAAAAATACACATAGACATCAACAGATTTTTACACAAAAATAAACTTTAAAAAAA